CTCTTATCAAGAAAATTAATTAGTCTGCTTGCAGCTAGAAATAAGCAAAGACTGGAAAATATCAGAAACAAACATTTAAGTAGCAGTTACCCATATTGGAAACTACTATTACATAGGCTATTCCCAGAAATATTACCGCTGTGGGATTAGGATTTGAGTCATAATTTGTGTCAATGTAACTGAGATCCTAAATATTTCTCCTCAAAATTTTAGTTTCTCCAACATTTTTACTTAATTTTTACTTACTTGTTAAAATGATGTCCTATGCCTTAAGGCATGTTAGGTGAGAGTTGAATCACAAGCAATTTGTTTAGGCAGATAAAAATGACCTAAATGTAAATATGGCACATTTTGTTGGTAAGGTGTGGTGATCTGCTTCAATTTAAAAACAAAGAATAGGTAGTCAAAGAAATTATTGAGTTAGTTACTACAGATTTACAGAAACATTTCATATCTGGAGTCATGTTTTTCCCCTTCCAATAACAAATCAAATATCAGATATTTGACCTTGATACAAAATTCAGTTTGATAAAGTCACGTCTCTAAAAGCAATAATGGACATGTGACTTCTAAAAAATGTCTGATTTGTGTCATGTTTTGTGTGTGTGTGTGTGTGTGTGTGTGTGTGTGTGTGTGTGTGTGTAAGACTGTCCTTGATGACCCCATCCATCATCTGCGCAGGGCTAGCATCTTACCCATATTTACCGTAGGTTTTATTGTTAGGCGACCTCTAGTGGCCAGGAGCAAAGAAGAAAGCTAGGTGACCTAGAATATATCCCAACAACCTCCACAACAAAATACAGCGGCACTTTGACACAGGCGACAGCTGTTCTTTTCTCATTTCAGACTGATAGTCTGTTATTTCTCTTAACTATGACTGTTACAAACTTACGTCTGTTTATTATTGTAAACATGATCACGAAGGTCTGGGATGCGTGCCAGGGCTTGTGAGAGGGTGAAGACAAACTACCTATACCAACTATAACATTGTTTAGGTTTGAAGACTTGACAGTACATGCATGTGTGTGCGCTATCACTTGTGTACATGCCTATGTTCATGCATGCCTGTCCAACTATCTTTTTATGTACACATGCATGTTTAACAGCATGCAGTGACATAACACAACAGACATAGACACCTCTGCACACATGCTTCTGTGTTCTTGTCATGTTTTAAAAAGCCCTATAGACACAGCACAGTGGCTTCCTAGTGTACCAGCTATTGTGTAACACCCAATAAAATGTCCATTCACAGCTCCGCTTAGCATCCAAAACAGGCTTTTACTGGTACTACAACTTGGGCTCAGACTCCAGTTTTACATACAAACTCTCCAGGTCCTTAGTGCTACCTGTTTTTTTACAACATAAATGTATTACAGTATTTACACATACTTGTAGACTCAGCTGATGAATGTGGAATGATACTTGTGTTCCGGTTTACTCATCATGTACAGTTTGTATGCAGCTGAAAAAAACAAAAGGACACTTCTCTAGACAAAGCAATATTTAAATTAGCTTTCTAATTTTCTAGGTTCTTCAAATGTATTTTATTACTTTTTTACAGTGTGGCCTTTTGGATCAGACACAGTATAACACACTTGGCTGATTGATGTTGTTCAGACAGGACATTATTCAAGCCTCTTCTTTTCTACTATGACTTGACCCTCACTCTTGCTTTCCAGGATTACTGACTAGGCTACAGAAAGCGTCTGCATGCCAGCATAGATGTGTTGATGTGATGTAGCACTGGTATCTAGGGGGACACAGTGGGTTATTTGGGTGAGGGGAATCAAGGATCAGACCATTTTATAGGTAAGTATGGAGCCCTGGGAAAGCTCTTTAGAATTCTTTTTAAAATGCTTTTGCCTGATTCTGTATAATTACACAGTTATGAAAAACCCCAAGGACCCCAGGGAGTGAGTTTCAAAGAATCACCCCTACTTCCAAACGTTATCTCATCTGTATGGTTGTGAGCACATCTATGTGCTTGTATAATGACCTCTTTCCTGATATAACCTGCTCAGACTGGCTGTGAAGCAGTTACAAGCATGCTTTTGTTGTATAGCTGGAGGCAGCAACCTAAGAGTAAGCCTGCTGTTTTGCTCAACAGGAAATTAAAGTTCTCATCTAAGAAGAAAGCACACAGACCATCACACAGAACCTTGGGTTTAACCCTATGCTGATGCACAGATGTGATAGACTTGGACAGTCAGATTTCAAGCAGATAGAATATGAACCTCAAATGAAATCAGGTGATGTACATGCCTCCATATACACTCATTGCATAAGCGAGTTAAGAGCACAGAGAAGCAGATGTATAGTCAACACACACAGGTAAATGTAATGTTGAAAATGTAAATAAACCGGTGGGGTCACAGACAAAGACAAAGGAGTGACTGATTGCCCTAAGGGTCATAAAAATGTATGAACAAATAGAAATAAATTATTTTGACTCTTATTTTATAAACATTACAGATTTTGTGATGTTGACTTTTAAATTCTATGAGAAATGACCTTCTAAAAACCCAAGACAACCACACTAAGCATGCTCAGTAACAGCACAAGACAGAGACAAAGCACATCAGAGAAACAGAGCACACAACCTGCAGGCGTGTGTGTGTGCTAACAGAGATGCAAGCATAGTCCGTGTCATGTAATACATGCATGTATGGTATCTGTACTTGTGTGCAGCATTGTAACAAGCAGACATGACCAATATACACTGATCAGCCACAACGTTAAAGCCACTGGTAGGTGAAGAGAATAACACTGATTGTCTTCGTACAATGGCACCTTCCAAAGGGTCAGATATGTAAGGCAGCAAGTCAACAGTCAGTTCTTGAGCTGTGTTTGTCATATGTGTGCACCTGGGAGAAAGATGGCACCAGGATTCACTAAGGGAAGAAGGCAAGCCAGTAGAGGCGGTGTAATGCTTTGGGCAATGTTCTGCCCAGACCCCTTGGGTCCTGGCATTCGTGTGGATGTTACTTTGACACATACCACATACCTCAACATTGCTGCTGACCAAGTACACCCCTTCATGACAGCAACATTCCCTGATGGCAGTGGCTTCTTTCAGAAGGATGACACACCCTGCCACACACCATAAACTGGTCAGGAATGGTTTGAGGAACATGATAAAGAGTTCACAGTGTTGCCTTGGCCTCCAAATTCCCCAGATCTCAATCTGATCAAGCAACCGTGGAATGTACTGGAAAAATAAGTCTGATCCGTGGGGCCCCACCTCGTAATTTACAGGTCTTAAAGGATCTGCTGCTGATGTCTTCATGTCAGATATCAGTGGACACCTTTGGGAGTATGGTGGGGTTCATGCCATGACAGGTCAGAGCTGCTTTGCAGTCACAAGGGGGGCCTACACAGTATTAGGCAGGTGGCTTTAATGTTGTGGCTGTTCAGTGTAAATGACTGAGCCATGAATCATGTTATGTAATGAAGTCAAGTGGCTTCAGCAGCATGCAATCACAACCTGCTATCATAATAGAGCAAACACACACACACTTTCATCGTCAGCAATTCTCCAGCTTGAACCTTAATACCTTATTTAACCGACAGCTCCTTTGGCCAATGAGGACTAACTTTAGTCAAGAACAAGTGTAGATGAGATATAGAGTGTGTAGTGTAGAGTCAAGAAGTACATTTATTTTAAGTTAACAATTGAGGATGAAAAGAACAATGAAGCAGCATGTGGAGAGATGGAGACTGAGAGATCCAGTTAACAAAATTAATTCCCTTGTTAAAAATAACATTGATGTAGAGGTTCAAAGTGTGGGTGAATCAACTATCATTGTCAACCAGTGGCGCCGGGTTTTATGTCTTTGTTTTGCTTTGTTTTGTTTTGGAGTATTCTAACTTGGCATAGTTAACATTCAAGATGATACACACAGGAGCCACAAACTCTCCCACTGCCCTGCGGTACAATGCACAGAAACATTGAGCAGGTTTATGGCAATTGTTCTTCTGAGATATTGTAAAGTCAGTGACTGGAAAATTAAAGAAGACATTCATCTGAGAATGAGCTTAACAGTCCTGTTTGCATGTCTTGTTCACACCTGAAGCATCAAATTCTACTCAGTCCTGAATAACAGAACTCTTCCTTGGCCTTCACAAACATCTACACAGCTTTAAATTGGTTTTGACTGAAAGTCACCTCTCTCTAAGAGTGATCCTAAACACCTTTAGTTAAAACAATATAAAAAAGAGAATGGAGCCCCCCCACCCTTGTTCTAAATAATGATCCTCCCATCCACATTCCCTACCATGTGTTTCTGTGACTCAGAACCAGGCAGATTTTGGTGACGCATAACCGATTAGCCAATGAGCAGCCTTCGAAAAGGGTTGCGTCCTGAGCCTAGCATCACTGAGACACCAAAGTGGTATTTTTGCTTGGTGATGTGCGAGGAACAGAGGGCGATGAGGGCGATGGGGAGGAGTTTGTGACATGTGCAGAGGGGAACGTGGCGCCCAATGAGGTCTCAGCCTGTCACAGGGCATCACATCAGCCTGTGAGCAGGCATGCGTACTTTCTAAACCCCACACCCAGCAAGAGAATGGTAGGACAAGCAGAAAAGTAAACAACAATCTGCCCTAAACCTGTCTGTGTAGCAATGGAAGATGCGAATCAAGTGTTAAAATATCAAGAAACACATTTTTGTGACCCAGCACTTCAAGTTCTCTTACACTTAATTGATGCGCCCTGTGCTACAGAGGAACTATAGATCTGTAAGATAGTATGAAGTCTGTTCTATATTTGGTCAAAACACAAAAACAGCTGCCATGTAACAATGAACCATTAACATGGAAGAGTAGTGTCTCCAGAACATTTGTTCTTTCCACTGAACGACATCACATTAAAGCATATGTACAAACTAGTAAAAAAACTGCATGTAGCTCCCTAAAAACATCTTTGCATCAGGTGCATAGGCCAACATACAATAATGATGAAGCAAAGAACTGTAGCCTGCACATTGAGTTAATGCCCCAGAAATTATGTTTATTCAGGCCAAGGTGCCACGCCAATGACATTTCAACATTAAGTCTTCATATGACATATATATAGACTCATTCAAACTGATGTCAGGTGACACCACACCCAGATTAATCAGCACAAAGACAACAGCAAAACATCAGTTTTCTCAAAAATATTTTCACCCACCCACCACATCACAAATACAACCACATCTTACTATAAATACATCCAATAATTTATTTTAAAAAATCCCTCATTAGGTCAACAATACAAATATGTATTGCTTTCAGTCCATACACAACTTTTGCACCCAAATAAACTATAAAGATCATATACACAGATCCAATTCATCATCATCTGAACCTACAGAAAAGGTCTGAGAGTTAAGAAGTCCTCATTTAGTTCATGTGCAGACAGTGGGTTCTAAATATAAATCTGTCTACCTTTGGATAAGGCTTTTATCTTGACCTAAACCCTTAAAGAAATGGAAACTGTTCCAATATCAATGTATCTCATGGAACTAATTTTGTGTCCTTCGTTATTGAAATGTGTTGCCACTGGACTTCTTGGTTTGGCACATCTAATATTAGATATGTGCTCAGTAATGTGTGTGTGTGTGTAAAGGGTAAGTAGTTTTGCTAAACACAGACAAGCCCACATGGACACTTTATCAAATAAACTACATGTGCAGTGCTGTAGGGAATCACACCATGAATTTTGATGTTCTGATTCTTGTGAGGGTGATTAAATGACCTGCAGTGGTGGGTGTAAATCTGCTGAGTGCACCTACCACACTTGCAGTTGCCATCTTTAAAAATGGGGAGAGAAAAGGGAGCAGATGTAATGGACATAACTGGTATAATGAGGTTTTTTTTAAATAAATTATTGGATGGATCTTTAATAAGATGTTTGTATTGTCATGTGGTGGGTGGGTGAAAATATATGTCACCTAATCTGGGTGTGGTGTCACACCTGCCATCAATTTGAACAAGTGAGGTCAGAGTACAAGCTGTGAATGCCTGATGAAGTCTGTTGAAACATCGTCCTGGAGCATTAAATCAGTGCGGGATACAATTCTTTTCTTCATATGCACAAACTAGCCAACCCAAATCCTCCTTGATCTCTTCAAATATCATACACTTCATCTTATACTATAAACCTTCAATTTTTGCTTTATTCATAGCACACAGACTCAGTAATCTAGCCTAAATGCCATAAGACAACATACTGAGAGAAAACCTGATGTCCCAGGTTAATGTAGAACAAGAACTCCATGGGCGTGTTCTCCTTACACCTTGATTGCCTTCCAAAAAGCTGTTTATTGCTCAAATGCATAAGCTTCCTTGTCTGATACTCCAGCAAAACCACACCTTTTCCCCATTTCATAAAAAAATTTGTGCTTGCGTGTGCACAGGACACATGAACTGGTGAGGAAAGAGAAAACACTAGCTCAGTTAAAGAAAGAGACAACATGTGCACCAGCCTGGCTGCTTCCTGTTGCGTGCAAGCGGACACCACTGATTCTCTGACTTGAGGAAGTACCAAAGCTCTGCAGCTTTCAATGCCAACCTGAGGTTTGTTTTAATTTACAGAGAGTTTAGGAATACCTGTTGGCATTCAATACTTCAGACGGCACTACTATATATCCACTATCCATTCAGTATATTCACAGCTTTATTAAATCATAAAAATATATTCATTCATCAATAAAAGACAGACTCATGAATTTTGATTTGAACAGAAACCTGCACACCCATGCAATGTTCAGTACAGTTAAAGGTTTGCATTAACATGTAGTAGATAGTGCAGCAAGAGGTCTTAACCATGGTTTTATGAAAGTAGTCACTTCCTGGTAACATTTTGATTATTAAAACAGCGTGAAATCACAGACACCCTTTGTAAGTGTATTGTATTTAAAATGTTTCTGCAGTTTTGTAAAAATATTCACTGAATCCCTGACACTGAATAGATATACACAATGACAGTGCAGTTCCTGATCCATAAGGTTCACTTGTGAAAGGGGAAAAACCTGGAAGGGACTGACTCAACTTTGCATCTGTTTTAACTATGTTCTGGACTTCATTACAAAAATACATCTTTGTTAAAATAAAATAGCCTTCCTTTAAAAGGCTCTGCTGGTCATGGTATTTGACCCTATTTAGACAGGCTGAGCAGAGTTAAGAGCCCTCCCCGTTTTAACTTTTTGTAGCTTTAAACAGTATTGGCTGCATCTTGTGAGCATCTACCTTTGTAACGACTAATGGTTAAAGCCAGTTGGCAGTCAGCTGGTTTTGATCACCCACCCAAACCTGTCCATAAAACCAATCTATCCGTGACCCCAATTCCTGACAACAGAAAACACTTAGCAGCAACCCTGAAAATGCTGCACATGGTGAATAAGGAATCCTAAAAATCAGGTCTTAATGTGACTGAAGTGAGACAAGTGTGGTCCTGGAAGACACCGCCATGTCTCCACTCCTCACAACACCTCCTTCAGTTATCTCTAGCTCATACATTATGTCCACAATCAGAGCAGCCAAGTCTCTTCAGGGCGCAGCCTGGGCCTGGACCTCCTCTGTCATCTGTTTGGCACTGTAATAGGACAAACTCAGGCCCATGATGGCCAACATCATGGCTATCTGGTTGATAGCACGGTCTTGTGGCTGCACCTGCACCTCACCAGCAACTTGCCTCTGCAGACACAAAAGACAAACAGGGCAAAGATCAGAGGTCAATAAACAGTGGAGACAGGCAAACAGAATATCTGTAAAAATTTAAACTCCATATTACTCCAACAAATGGTTGGTGGGCTGGAGGTTGACACTCTTTTTCCTCACTACATCAAATTGAGTCACTCAGGCTGAAATTAAGACTAGTTTATTAGTTCAGTGTTCATTTGTAGACTGTGGTGAAGCTTTGTACCTGGAGGAGACGGAAATATCCAGGTGTCAGTCTGCCGAGTCTGATGATCATGTCTGCTGATGTGGTGCTAGGTGGTTTGCAACAGACAGGGAGCTGGGGTGGTTCTTAAGATCTGCAAAGAAAGATGAAGGAGGCGCTGAGTTTCCAAAATACATGTAGAATTTTTGAAGTAAAGCTAATATTTCTAGTACTTTGAGGAAGATGTTTCAGCTTTTATATATGCATCAGATAAAGATTTGTGAAATTTTCAAAAAGGTTTTTGAAAGTACTGCTGCGAAAGGAGGAGAGAAAACTACAACTGGCTAGCAAATAAACCAAAACCATGCATGAGAAAGGAACATCTCTCGCCTGACGCCATGGCACAAACTTCACAATGTACGGATCCAATGCGATCACCATGCAGAGAAATCCAAGATACACACTAAGTGCCTAAATCACATGCTTTACAACTGAAATTTTTTTAGGTCTGTGTCATTTCTCTTGGTTCCATAGTGTCTGCCTGGACAGTTCCAAACCCCCTCCTGCTATTAAATTACCACATTTGAACCCAATCTGCACCAGAGACCCGACTCATGCCGCATCATAAACTGACAGCAAAGAAAAAGACAATTTCACTAATTTACTCACGGGCCATCCCATATGTAACTGTGCATCAACTGTTGAGAGAAAAAATTAGTAAGGACTGAGGGCTGTGTCCCCGATCACGACAAAGAGCCCGAGATCTTAACGTTTTAAAAACCAATTGTTTTTACTGCTGCATCAATTGGACAAAAGTAATATTAAATGACATCCCAGCAAAACTAGAAGTAGCTGTGCATTACAGGACACAAACCCAAACGGTTTGCTTCATCCGCAACTACCAGGGATGTGACTTTCAGCTGGGATGTGCTCATTGCATCTGAGATTAAGCTTCCAGCGAGGGTGAGGAAGAGGACTGTGGAGAAGACATACAGTATATGGAGCAATAACGTGCCAACCTGGTTGAAGTTGCACCACTTTACGAAGGGGAAAAAGGCAATCCGAGCTTTAAAAATTACTTCCTCCTTGTGTCAAAAGTTTTATTGGAAAACCCACAGCTTTCCCTTCTTTTTAAAAAAAAGAAAAAAAAAAAGAGCCGGGTCAGCTCGCCAGTGGGACCTCCTGCTTCCCAGCCACGCTGAATATTTAAAGGATGCCAAAGAGCAATGAACTAGTGAGAGACTGCACTGGACATTCATATACAGCTCTGCTCTCACCCAACCAGATCTGCAGGCCCGCCTACAACACACACACAACATTGTCAAAATGCATTAGTCTCAGTAGGTTGCTTTCCACAGACACACCTCTTCCTGACTCCCTCCAAAACAAAGAAAGAACCTCCGAACTGTCACATAGGATTTGCTCATCTGGTCATCACAGAATCAGACTAATGCAAACTAACAAACAAAATAAATGAATAATGCGTGACAACACGTTCTCAACAGAGCATGCATGTCAACGTGCAGGGTTACATAACCAGCCTGATGTGTTCAGTTCATTTCAAACTGAGACAGAAATTAAATGTCAATCAAGAATATGACAAACCTCCAGGAGCAGAAGCAGCTTGATCTTAAATCAGGAGGATGAGCAGGGGGGATTTTTATCCCCATGGAGAAAGATTAATTTGAAGTAGGTCAGTTTAGGCCTATTTGCCTTCTGAATGTACAAGGCAAGATTTTGTTCAGCGTGTTGGCCCAAAGGCTGTCGAGCTACAGTACCTACAAAGGAAGAAGCTCATTGACACCTCAGCGCAGAAAGCTGGAATACAAGGGTTTACTGGATGCACAAACATGATCTGGCATCAAATTCAGTCAGCAAAGAGGGAAAGAAGAGATTTGCATGTGGTGCTCTTACATCTAGCTAATTCCTTTGATTCTGTACGACATAGCCTACTGTGGGAAGCACTAGCTTACTTTAAAGTACCAGACTTAGGTAAAGGGCTAAGGAGAGAATATTTTCAGATGTGTTTCACAACAATCTCACTACTAGTGTTCACCATGGCAATGGAGGTTTTTATTAGGGCATCTAGATGGGTCGCAGGAAGAGCGAGGCTTCTGTCAGGCTTCCGTGTTTTGTTAGACAGCCTGTGGCACAAACTGCAGATCTCAGGGTTGAAAGAAGGGGACATTTAAGAGACAAACCGGAACTATAAAATATGCTACTGAGGTGCATTAAGGGAACTGTTTTTAGCATGACTCGCTTTGATTTGAACCCTTTTTTCAAGCTATCCCAACTGTATTTAATACCAAATCAGTGATATTAAAGTAAATATTTTAATAATGTAGCCTCTGTGCCATCTTTCCCTTTGGATTTGCTGTCGATTGAGGACTTTTATCACTTTAAGTTTGTTCACTTTCAAACAGGGACTGAAACAGAGCTGATGTACATTTGCTTGCTGTCAAAATGCTCGCAGCATATCACACACACATAATCTCAGCTATTGCTCACAGAAGTGTACAGTATAAAAGGACAAAATGCTGAGACATCAGTAAGAGAGTCAAACTTGGATTTTAGGAGTGGTTCACAACATGCTTCAGTGCGAGAGCATGTGAACATCAGCTTTACTTGAGGCTTAACATGAAAGCAAGAGGGTGCTGCTTTCAAAATTCCAGCTGCATAATCGAGCTTAACATGAAAGCAAGAGGGTGCTGCCCATTTCAAAATTCCAGCTGCATAATCGGCTCGATAAGCGACTTAGTGATAATCAATGCTGAGGGAAAACAGATGGACACAGGACTGATTTCTCTTCAGTGATAAAAACTACTTCAAAACTGATCTGGGGCGGGGATCCACAAAATATAGAAAAATGCCTTGACTTTCTACCAGGAAATGAGTGGAGCAGATTGCTGTGAAAACAAAAGGGCTGGGGCTGAATTTATTTCCTTCATCTCTCCCACAGATATTGTTCAATGAAGGATGTCAGTCAGTCAGTCACTATTCACATGTGCACTGGGCTCATAATCATTTACTGCGTGCAACGTGTCCTGTACGCCACACAGCCTGTCGCTCGCTTTTTGGTCCTGCCTTCTTGTGCCTCCAGCAGGAGATCTCCTGGATGGAAAGGCTGACAAGGCATCAGTAGCCTCCGCAGAATGACAAAGCACCAATCTCCAGCCAGGCAACAGCAGCTCAGGGCAGTCATGCTCTACCCTCTCTCTACACACAAGCTCTTACTGAGGCTTTGAGCAGAAGTCTAGTCATGGCTAAGAGTTTCTGGATTCATTTTAAAATTTCCAAAGTCCACCACTACAAAACATATGATGTGCCTAAACACTATTTACACTCACAAAATTGTTTTTAAATGTGTCAAGCTCTGAAGACAAAAAAGTCATGCTGAGTCCAGATTTAGGGTCTCAACTAATGATTATTTTCAATACAGATTTCTATTGATACATTTTAATGATGAACTGTTTATTCTAGAAAATAGTGAAAAACATATTTCACAAGTTCCCAGAGCTCAGCGTGACATCTTATTGGTTGTGATTTTGCTTGGGGGAGGGGAAAAAAGCCCTTAGCTAAACAATCCATTATCAAAAGAGTTGATTTCTTTTGATCAAATAATGATTTCAGCTCTAAAATGAAGCACAAGACATTATGATGATATGCGGATTGGTTGAGTGATGGGAACATAAAAGACACCTTGGGGTCATATATCAAGTTCATTACAAGCTCCATTTTGGGCCCCAGATGTAAAAGACCCACAGACACAGAGAAAAAGTTAGAAACGGTTTGAACAGTGAAACTTTGGGAATTTAAATGAGCAGTGCTTCATTTAGCTGATTAGCATTAAGATAAACAGTTTGCCCATCCACTGTTACAATCCCCTACTGAGCTCATGAGGCAGCATATACTGTATTCTCACTGGCCACTTTATTAGGTACACCTGTACAACAGTATGCAATTCAATGTAACGCTTATGCCTTAATATCTCCGTTCATGAAGCTCAAAATGTTTACGTTTTTGGTGAAATTGCCATAAATCTATACATTCAATTATATGCAATTAGTAATTATATAATTATTAAATTATTGAGGTCATAGTTAAAGGTGATGTTGTACTGTACTACATTATATTCAGAGGTGTCTCTATATTTTTGTCCTCTCCAGCTACATACATGGGAGGGTCAGAATATTAGGAACACCTCGGATTCTGACCGGTTTTTAAAACTTCTGTCCGTCAAGCTTTCTAAACCACATGATCACGTACAACGTTTTTTAAAAAAATCAATAACTTGCAATGGTTTGAATGAGAAAATAAAACTAACAAAGACACCACACTGACCCAGTTGGCTACAGCACACGTGTCTGTTTTTTTTTTTTAAACCGGACGCTAAATGTTGCGAAACCAGCTGTGGACGCTCGTTTTTTGCTTTTCCTTGTGGAAGCACCCAATGAAAATCAGTGTTCCTACCTGCAGCTGCACTGGGTTTTTACACAGTTTGGGAGACGGTCAGCCTGCATTTGGATGAATGGTACATTATGTTGACGTGTTTGTTAAGGAAGCTATGCCTTTTCGTTATGGAACAGAAGGGGTGGGGCACCTCCAGCCCTACAACATGCCTGTATCCACGTGAAACGCACAGACACCTCTGTCTGGGACAAATGAGCTGGTCCTTATGTTCTAAGTGCTGGAGCACGTTGTGTCTCCTCCCCCAGTACAATACGTTTGTCATATCACGTGAAATTCCAAAACATAAACAGGGCACCTGTGGCCTATGACTGGTGTGTACACTACGGTCAGGCTGTGTTTTGGTTTCAAATGTGGCTTAAAGGTAATGGGATGCATTTGTTAATTGGCAATTAATGTTCATCATGACACAAGATCTTCCTCAGCAAATGGGAGTTTTCTTATTGTCATGGAAATATTCAAATTTCATGTTTTGAGTGTGTCTACTCCTACTGAGCTTCACATCTGAATCTGAACAGACTGAATATTCTATGATCTTAAAGTTAGTTGCCTAGTTATCAAGGAATAAAGCAGGTTGAAACTTTTATTTTTCAGAGCACCTCAAGGATTTATTTTTTGTTCATAATGGCTTAAAACTTGCCTAAAAAAAGAAACATCATTCCTAAAGTCAGATGATAAAATCAAAAACACTCTGATCATCTTCAATCTTAATTTCAATCAGCATAGTACAACTAACATACCATAACTGCACTAGCACTTGATAAATAAGTCTTCTAAATGGTAAGCCTCATGTTCGTCATTTATGCATAGTGTTGCAATAAGACGTTTACTAGGACTATGGGTAGGAAACCAATAATCTTTAGAAAAGAAATGTATATAAAGACTAATAAAATGTTCAAATAAAATAAATGATGATTAAGAAAAAGCTACATTTGGCCCATATTTCAATAATTCCACTGCTAAATCCTTGTGAGACACAGGATGGTAAAATAGACAGGCAGATAATGCAGACTGTACACAACAGAGAAACATACATATATTCACACAACATCAACACTGAAAATCACACCCCTATCCTAGACCCATATAACATATATCATATACACACATAGATAGGTACAGATGTGTACAGCAGCATCAAGGATGCAGTCTGTTTGAGCTGGAAGGGAAAAAGCATCTGCTAAAGTCCTTTATCTGTGACCAGATTGTAATAATGTGAGGAAAATAATACTAAGGTGTGGATTCAGAGTGTGATCAGTGTAATGTGCTATTGCCAGTGAGGCTGGGGGTCAGGAGGGAGGTGATCTTGGAAGTGATGTGTGTAATCTTGATATTTGTTGGAGATGGTTAATATGCTGGACTGGATTATGCTTTTGTAAAGCAACAACAGCAGCAGGTAAGGGACAGCAGAAAGAATACAACAATTAAGTATAAAAACAGCAGCATCCTCACAAAGTCTCACTGAAGGCTGTGAAAGTGGAAGGAAACGGAGACCCCTGGAGTAAATACAAGTACAGTCTCTCTGTAGTGATGTGGTACTGCCCCCTAGTGGTGCTACAAAGGAAAGACATTCAGGCGGGAAGCACTTTTAGCTACTTTAGTTTTCTGCACCTTAACTTAATACGCCCACTCCACTATTCCAGAGATAAATATTGCACTTCTCTGCCCCAGATGTATTTTTAGCATGCCAAGATTTTCTTCTTAATATAACTGAATTTGTTTTGTTTTTTCTAGAATAAGGGGGCAATTTTTATTCTAAGGCATGATCACTTCATGTGTTTCTATTAGATTTTCACTCCTTTTAAAGTTATTAAACTAGCAGATTTCCATCAGAACAGGGTGAAATAAAAATATTTTTAGAACTCATTAGCTTCATTAATTTGTACTCAGAAAGATGGAGACTGTGCAGTGATAATCCATTGCTAAATATTCAAACACCCCAAAGGACAATTTAGCTAAACACTTACTTTTGATACTTGTAATTTTTAAAATGACAATATTATGTACTTTTGCTTAAGAAAACCTTGGCTGCAGGACTTTTACTTTTGGACTACAAACAACCGAGTAATGAACACTCACACTGTGTTATTGATACTTTTACCTAAGGGTCTGAGTACCTCTTCTACTTTTACAAATTATAGACATTCATATAAAAAAGAAGCCTATATCAACACACCAGGGGGCACAGAGAGAGAGAGAAAAGGAGCAGAGTATTTAAAATGGATGCCCTTTTAAGATGGAGCCCACAGCTGGTTTGGAGCTGATAGCTGCGTCCAGAGATCACTGTATCACAACATACTGGATCATTCCGGAGGGGACACTAGGATGAGGTCAGTCATAGTATATGCAAAATAAACAAAAGTGCTGTTGCTTTTTCATCTCACATTAAAGTAACACCAATAAGACATTTAGAAATTTTTTATTCAAGAACATTAAGATCAATAATTGAAGTCAGAAAGCCTTCCTTTTCCCCTAAAGGAAACGACACTTAAATCTTTTAAATGACCAGGTTCACATCATACATGATTGTGGGATGTATCAAACTTTTGACCTAGTAACATTTTGTGTGGCATTTTCACTGATTAAATTTTATACAGTGATTCAATACTTTTTTAAAATCAGTTCAACATTAAAATACAAGGAGATAAAAGGGAAATCTCAATTTTAACAATATGCCCTAGCTGCCTTTATGTTAAGAATTCAATTTACAATTCAACTTTTTGGAAAATATCTATTCAGCAGTTTACAAAAAATAAAAATAAACAAACTAAAATGCCATATCTACTGAATATGGATGGTATTCATTTTAAAGTGGATATAAAATTGACATGAATGTGAAAACACAGTTGTTACATCAAGTGCAAGCCCAAAACAAACCTATAAATGACATCTGTAATATAAAACTTGGTAAAAAATACTTATTTAAAACTGTACAATCACCAAGTACACAGAGTGATCACATCAACTGTTTTTCATTTGGCTTCAGCGGCTTCAGCCTTTGGCTCCTAGGGACAGAAAAGAAGAGAGCATCACAGTTAAGTGTGGCGGTCATGTTTTTTTTTTTTTTATTTCAGCCAGTGTTTGTGGGTCTGGTGGACCCAATGCATTGTTGGGTTTTTAATTAAACACAAACAATTTATGTTAAAATACTCAACAGATGTTTACTTCATCCTAACTACATGCAATATAAACAGCATATATGGTTAATATTTGCCCTTTACCTTTGTTAAGATCACATTTATGAATTAAAGTGCTACTTGTTTTTAATATAATGTAATAAAAAAGAAAAATCAATTATAATAAAGATATGAGTGGAAAAAAATTCCACAACTTTTCAAATGAAGCAAGGTTTTTTATTTATTTGAACTTCATTATAAATTTAACCCATTCAGGTCAGTTTACACAACACAAGCTGAACACATACAGCAACCATTCAGTCTAGACAACACATCCGCCCCACTGAACACACTGTCTTTTCATACCAGCCTATACAACACGAGGGGCTGAGTTTTACGGTGTGTGTACATGTATGTTGTGTTTTTCTGTCCATCTTGGGTCCACACACTTCGCAGCGCTTCCTTTTGTTGCTGCTGATATTACTGGATATTACATCAGGAATTTTATACTTAGCACCCCCCTCTCTCTCTCTCTCACCTATCTTCTCTGGATTTGAAGTCTTACAGTGCCTTTCCCAGTTACTCAAGAGGTGTCTCCTCTGGAGCTTCCATCTGTTCCACTCTGGGGTCAGTGGTATCCAGATGACAAAGGCGTTGTACATTGAGATGTCCAAAAGGTCAAATATCATCAGTGGCCAGCGTAGGGTCCTCCTTTTGCAGCTCTAGGTAGTCATGAGCTTGTCAATGTTGTCCACACCTCCTTTGGTGGCATTATAATCCATGATGATCTCTGGTTTTAGGTTAGGTTGGTGTTTATGCCCCTGCTGTCCCTGCACAAGGTTGCAACACCGTTGCAAATTTCAAGCGCCGATACCTGCCTGCTCTCACATTCCCACACATTTTACGCTCTGTCTTGCAGGAACCAATCTTTATTTGCTCATACTCTAACCCAGCTGGGAAAGGCACTAGTGAAACCTCAAATCCGGAGAAGATAACATGTTCCAAGAACCCCATCCTCTGCTGCCATCATGAGGAGGATTCAGGAGGAGAATGCTGGTGCCCCATCTACCTGACCTACAGAACCACCATCTGCAGGGCCTTAAGTAAGTGTGTGATGCTGTTGCAGTATATGTCTGACACTCATGCCTTGCAAGAGAGAGAGGTGTCAAGCAAAATTTCTGATCTTTTCATTATTCTAGGTTGCGGCCAGCAGCAACAAAAAAAGTGCTGCAAAGTGTGTGGACCGAAGATGGACAGAAAAACACAATATACACGTATCAAGTGCAAGACGTACATATGCAACACACACTGTAAAACTCTGCCCCTCATGTGTTGTATAGGCTGGTATGAAAAGGTAATGTGTTCAGTGGGGCGGATGTGTTGTCTAGACTGAATGGTTGCTGTATGTGTTCAGCTTGTGTTGTGTAAACTGACCTGAATGGGTTAAATTTATAATGAAGTTCAAATAAATAAAAATCAAGTTATAAAAAACCTTGCTTCATTTGTAAATATGTTGAATTTTCTTTCACTCATATCTTGATTATAATCGATTTCCTTTTTTTATTACATTTTATTAATATACCGCAGGGTGCCTGCCTACAACATTCCCACTGTATACGTAAATCCTTTTGCTGACAGAAAGACAACACAACAAACCAGACTTCAGACATCCAAAACTTCGGTCAGAACTTTTCAGATACCCAGTATTGATTTTTTTTTTAAACTTTCATTTGATTTACTGTGTTTAGTTTATAACTAGTCTTCTACCTGTCACATACACATGCATATTAAACAGTCTTCTGCACTTCTTCAGTATCAGTCTGGCAGATTAACTTCTGTGCTCTCAAATTAACAGTTTAACTGCCCGAATTGGGTATTTGTGGTCTCAAATAAAATGTGTGGCCACTGTAACCATAAGAACCATGGTTACATTGTTTATTGGTGTTGTTATTATGCAAACATGAATTATTTTTTATTATACTGCACAAAATAGGAAAGAAAATAAGGTGCTTCTGTTGCGTAGGAATTTGTGCCTCTTAAAGAAACAAACCTCAGTCTTGCTGCCATTCTCAGATGGTTTGGCCTTCTTTGCTTTGGCTGGCTTCTACAAGATGACATGGCAATTGATTACTACGAGATTAAAGGCGTTAGTACACAACTATCACATGCTTAACAATAAGAAATAGAGTCAAGTGTACAATCACATCTATAATTTCTTTCAGAGGCCTTTAACCTTTTCCCAAGATAGGTAAATGTTATATTCCCCTTCCAAGGCCATGAATCTGTTTCACACGTGACATACAGCACACAGAGATGTTTTGATAAGATCAGCTAATTTAAACAATTTCATACTTTTGCAGCAGTTTTTTTCTTAATCTCCACTGGTGTAGCCTTAGGTTTCTGTAAAACAAGGAATTTTAAATTTTAAGAGTACAGAAATTAGAGCAAAAGGTACAGTGAAGAAGAATGGATAGCAGCACAAGTAAATAATCTCAGCTTTTAGTGTAACCACAAAATATTGATAATTACTTTGATTACAAAATAGTAATAATTACAAATAAGAGTCCGATAAATGTATTAAAATGTCCTAAGCTGAAAAAAACTTTAAAAAAAAAAAATCAACTGGACTAGATTTTGAAGATGTTTCACCTCTCATCCAAGAGGTTTCATCAGTTCTGGGACTGATGCTTTAAAGAGAGGTGAAACGTCTTCGACCTAGGAATCTAGTCCAGTTGATTGTTTTCAGCTTACTATGACCTGGATGACTGAAAATCTGCACAGATAAAATGTGCTGATTTTTAATAATTTAATAAAATGTATTAAATGTAGAATGTATAGAGGCAATGATTTTATGAAAATTTCAATGTAAAGACTTTAAGTTATTCCTTAGGGCAAGCTGTTGTCAAGGAAAAACTAACTTGAGGAACAAAATTTATAGTGAAATATCCTTCTTTCATAACTTATTGCTTAATGGTGTTTGCAAGGAGCTTACCAGGGCCAGCCGTGGGGAGGTTCTTCTTTGCTACAAAGATTGGAGAAAGAAAAATGTCAGCAATAACTGCAGATTAAAAAAAGGCTTATTTTTAATACATGACCCTAACAAAATACAAACATTCATTCATTAAAGTGGTGGGTGGGCGGCTTGTCTGGACAAAAATGATTTGAAACGGTAAACTAAAAAGCAACAAAATGACAAACAGTAAAATTACATTAAAACCAACATTTAACCAAATTATCTTAAAAAAAAAAAAAATCTAAACTAAGCTACTAAAAAAATTGTCCACTGAAAATTCATTCTGAGACGGTGCAGCTGTACAATATTCTTGCAAAATAAAGCAATGTTAAATGAACACAGCCAATATAAAAACATAACTGAATTTTATTTTTACAAACCTCAAGGGGCACCATTTGCTGAAGACAAGAAAAACAGAAAAACAATGCTTTAATTAGCATGCCAGCATTATAAACAGCAATTCATAACAACACAATCTTATTAAAATAAGAGTATTGAGAGTTCTGCTGACAATTTGTTGCACTGCTACTAAATCTGTAGTTCACAAAGAACTTCCCGCGCATATTTGAATTCAAATGGAGTCTGTCCTATCATCATGACAGTGACTTGGCGCCCTGACAGCTTCCTTTGTTTTGTATCAGTGCGCGCCACAGCTGTTGGGAAACGGATAAAATTACTACTTTACTCATCTGTAGTTACCACCAGACAATAAAGATGCACCCAAACACGCAAGCCTGCGGCAGATACAAACAAATCAAAATTGCATCCGAGTTTTTAAATCTAGAAACACATCTTCCCCTATTTCGAATTTTAAATTGATATTTTTAGAAACAAATCACTAACCACTAATTACATGCAAAATCAATTTAATGTTGATAAAATAACGTACTAATCATAGGGGTATATTAAATGAATATAAAATATGTCACATCGCTGCATTGTGCAATTACTAATACAAAATGCACAGACACGTAAGCCACGTTAGAAAATGTTATATATTGCTGAATAAATTCTATACTGGATGACGAAATATTAAACCTGTACTAAATCACCATGCATGAACGAGCCATACCTATCTTATTCAAAACAGCTTAAAAACTGCCACCTCCCCTCCCCCAACCCTTCCCCAATTTTGCAGGTTGTGCTTGAGCTTAACGCTATTTCGATTGCTGCATAACCGATCACCATTATTCAATTTAGATCACAAGTTATGCACTCATATTGACGGGATAATCTTTACGTTTACATCGCATGTCGAAAGTTTGCTGTTGCATGTCGAAAGTCTGTTGTTGCGTTTAACCTGTCAACCCCCCCGCCCCCAACGACAGCCCAAGACAGAAAACACAGAACGGTGCCAAAAATTTTGCACAGCGAAATGTCAACTGCTGCACAGAAGGCTTTGGCGCAGGTCATGCGTTATGTAACAACACGTTATACGTCATATATAAGAGATATATTACATTACTAGCAAGAACATAAATTTTTATTTTCAAGGAATGGGAGGATGCCCAAGCAGGTCTTCTGTCAGACCGCCATTGCTATAACGTTTGCTAGGGATGATGACGTTCCTCTGATGCAGAAATATCCAACGCAGTCAAATGCTAAACTCGAGTTAAAACGAAGGCAATGCACTATATAAAAATAAAAATATAAACACTTACCTTCGTTTTGGCCATGTTGCTAGCAAGAAATGAACAGATAGCTGACAAAAATATAACTGTAAAAACAGACTTTTCTCGAAGATAACAGACGACAACCGACCAGTCGCTCAGTAAAATGGCGAATGTATAACGCAAACGAATGTTTTTGTAGTTTATACACTGAAATATAAGAACGAAACCGGTTTGAACCAGTTTTGTATGTCGAAGTCTGTCATTGGACGTAATGTGTCATGTGGTTCCAGGCACCACCCATTTTAACTCTTTTATACACTGTTAGGAAGTTGTATATAAGGCTCAGTATTAACAGATGCTAAATAAATGCAGTGGACTACAATATAAAATAGCAAGGAAATACTCAGGTAAAGTATCCGTACCTTAAATTGTACAGTACTTCTAAGTACTCCACTACTGGGCTCATTTCACAGCATTTCTTTCAATCTGTTAACTGGACTAACTCCAACTTTTTTGTGCTGTATCAAGGGTTTCTGATTGATCTATGTTGAAAAAGGCAAGTAATCGTAGATAACAGTAATGGTGAAGGAAGTACACATTTCCTTATAAGTAAAGCTAGAAACAACAAAATATAAAAACACGCTTTACAAGGTTTGGCACTGAAAATGATATTGAAGTAAAACTACAGAACTCTTATAAGCAATGTTCTTAATGTAACAAAAATTAATTAATTGATGTGTATGCAGCATATTACTATTGTATCTGGATGGAGCCAAGTTTAACAATGTTATACACTATTAGGTATTTATTGGTATAAAAAGCACACTTCATACGCCTATATAATAAGTCTGTAAAATGCTAACTTGGCAAGTGACTAGGAGCTACAGATGTCAAATGTAGTGTAGTAAAAATATATATCTCCCTATGAAATGTTGTGTAGATAAATAATATAGCATTACATAAGAATACTCTAATAATGCACTAATAACTCAAATTTGTTCAAGTACTGTAATTAAGATAGAGTACTTGAATAATTTTGATATTTTTCTGCTGCTCAATTTAAAAAGTTAATATACTGAAATCCAGACTGAGTCAAGAACTGGGGCAAATGCTCACAGACAACTTTGTCATGTGGTTCATGAGTACAAAGGAGTGATTCATACTGTACATCATCCAATATTATCTGACTTACAGTGATCACTTTATTCTGTTTAAGAAGGCTGGTCAAAATCTAGTTACTTTATCAACATCACACTCAACAAACAACACTTTCTTTAAGCCTCAAAAAAATGTAGAACTGTACCAATTTCTCTTAAACCAAGCAACTATTTTGGAAACATGTCCAAAACTTGAGATCCCTGGGTTTCACTCATCAAATCTGATCTCCCAATTAGTGGCATGCATTTGACAGACAATTTACACAATTATTTAACTACATCTTGACCAGACATTTCCATTATTTGACCGTTTTTTAACTCTACAATCATAAATATCACAATTATTCTATAGCCCCATAGGGGCAAAATTGCCATCTCATCTTGTACAAATCAGTAAAAGCATGAAACCAATTACTGTTGCTCTTCCCTTTTTGGAAGAGTACAGGAGAGGCTTCATCCCCACTTCAATATGGGGTTTATTCTTCAGAGCCCTCCTAGGCCAAAACATCTTCACTGCATAAGTCATTGATGAAACTGTCTCTTTTGTGCTTCAGTGCTTCTAAGAAATCGTGTACTCGTTCTTCCCGACAGGCGGTGTAATGCAGCAGTGCCTCTTGTCTTCTCTGGGCATCAGCAGGCTTTCCATTCCCATGATGTTGCAGGTGTTCTGCTACACAAGCGTGATCCGCCTCTAGCTGCTGTAAGGCCTCATGCTCTTGATGGAGGTCTCTGGCTTTCTGATATACAATTAAATTACAGATAGTTATGTAAAAAAGAAACTGCTTTAATTACTGATTTAGAAAAATGTCCTCTTCCTTTGGGTGGCAATACACTACATGCACAACAGATAGTACACATTATTGCCACTTCTCCTAAGATGGATCCGGATGTGAACATGAACATGCTTCTATTCTACAGCCAATACTTTCATAGTCATTGCTACATAGGCAGCTAGAGAAATTAGTCACATACAGCTGATGATTCAGTTTTCATGGAGATGACTATTTGCAACATCCTTTTCTGGCGCACCACTTGTAAGCTATGTGGGAAGGGCAAAAATAACTAATTAACTTTAAAAAACATGTTTATCTTTTCCTATGTTCATCTGTTGGCATGTGGCGAAAGCAGGAGAATTGCCTTGGCAACAGGGAAGCTTGAAAGTCACACAGGTTCTCACCTACACAGCCTCTCCACATCTCAAATTAATGCAGGGCCACTGTAATTTGAGGACTTTTTTATTTGCCTATTTCCCTGTATACCCTTTCCAATGCAGATTTCCATATTGGTGTGAACAAGTTGTGTTACAATAAAATACTTACCTGGATAGATTTATGATTTAACTGATACTGGAGAATGGCTTCACACAGGTTCCAGAACGAGTACTCTGGCCACAGAACTGACTGGAACACTAGACAAGAGTGAGAAGTCTGCAGGATGGAAGATAAAAGAAAAATCTGTATCTTAGTCTCAGAGGAAATGGTGTGACGTGTTTGACAACATGATGCTTTTACATCTAAAATTGGCACACAGTTTCATCTATTAGGTTAATATCGTCTTTGGTGGTTTGTTGTTACATGCACTTCAATTAACTGTTTATTAAAAAACTTTTTATATGGTACAATGATCATTTCTCATCTTTGATGGCTGCAACATTACAGAGGAAGGTAATGACCCCAAAATATCTAATAATAAAGATCACCACAAAGTATTAGTCAAAACCAAAAATTCTGCAAAGGCCACTCAAGACTCAACCAAATTTCTCCAATTTAACATTAAAGAAAACAACTTCTTCGATTGTTGTCATTTTTCCATGCAGTTATTCTCATTCTCACCTGCCAAAGAAGGAAGTCGCTGAGGCGCACCTCACCAGAGGTGCGGATGAGCAGATCAGGATTGGGAGAATTATTGCTGTACAGACACTCACTTAGCAATGCCTCTGAAACATCACTGTACACCAGAGAAACACAAACATATATCCTGTCATAGTAAAGATGTCTCCAAGACACTGACAGTTTAACTCAGTACTGTGTCTGTGATAGTTTACCTTGCTTTGATCAGGCCCTGCTCCACCCCCCAAGCCATTTCTCTGACCGCATTGGTGATTTCATATCTTGACGTGTAGGCAAAACACACATTCAGGAAACATCTACAAAACAAGAATTGTTATAAAATACATGAAAAATGGCCACAGTTATACATCTGTTTGAGTCAGATGAATATTAAGGTTGTAAACTTGAGTCACTAATGATGAGGGTCATAGAAGCAGAAGCACAAATTAATACACATACTTATTGTGAGTCCTGGTTGTGATCACAGCTTTAGCAATCAGCTGCTGAAGATCAAGTGGCAGCATATTGAAGTAGAAAAGAGAAATATATACAAGAAACCCATAAAAACAACAGGGAGAAAAAGATGACCACGCTGTTTAAACAGCAGGTGAAACGCGTTTGTCTGCATTTCCCACTTAGAGTCACACAAAGATTCCTAGAAACAAGAATTTCTAAAGAGAAAATGGTGAGTTGTAATTTCTCCCAAACTGCCTGAAGGCAATTTCTTGTGTAAAGGGGTTTAGTCGGGTGTCACAATAACTCCACCCAGCACCCATTATATACCATGGCAGCCTTGTAGTTAACAAGGGTTACAAGACATCGAGCCACATATTGAAAATATGGAGTATTTTCATAAAACATTACAGGTATCAGAACTAATCAAAATTATTCCCAACATGTGACACAAATATATTGACATATTTCTCTACAACTTTACTGCTGTAAGAAAAAAAGGCAATTGAAGAGCAGAAATGATGTGGGACAAGCTAGTAACAATCCTCCAGGTTATTCCTGTCATTCAAACAAATCTGCTCCAAAACATGCCTCTCTTTCAGCCTTTACATATTTTTAACAAAACTGAATTTTTAAAATTGCCTCCAAGACAAACATTTCAACTAGTAAACTCAGCTAATGAGACCACAGTGTTTCTGGGAAGCCATTAACAGGTTCTATATTTGGAGGAACTATAAGCCATCCGCTTAGCTAACAAGCTATACACTAATGATTAATGAAATAATTATTTTTATTTCACATAAGGGATTTGTAAAACTTCCTTCTGTGTGGAGAAACATGGAGAAATGTCTGGTAATCCAAGACAACAACATCTAGTGGCCATTTATAGAGCTGAAGATTAAAGCACCTCCCTCTGAGCTTCAAACTCAACCGTGGAAGCTGTCCACCGGTTTTAACAGTTTTTTTTTGCACATATACATTTTCAGAAACAACTACAGTTGAAGTATAATTAGCTGCTAAATCCACAGTTGTAAACTGTGTATTCTAATATATTGCAATGATGCGAAAATGTCTGCATCAACCAAAACACTGCAATATTATGCACTCTTGTTCATATGCTAGTCTTTCCTGCTTTAGGCCATTCGATATACTGAAACTAAAACATGTAAATTTCAGTCTCACAAACAACCTTAAAGTACTTCAACTATACATGGTAAATGGTATTATACTTATAAAGCGCTTTTCTATGCATTGCAGCACACTCAAAGCGCTTTCACACACCAGTGTGGTCACCGGGAGCAACTGGGGGTTCAGTGTCTTGCTCAAGGACACCTCGACATGTTGACTGGACAAGCCGGGAATCGAACCGCTAACCCTCCGTTAGGAAACAACCAGCTCTACCTCCTGAGCCACAGCCATGATGTTTTAAATTGTCCCACAAGCAACAGCAAAGCGAAAAGATATTTTAAACCTTTACAACTCACCGTTCATCCAACAGCCGCTCAAATTTCTGCCTGGCCAGTTCCATCAGCCCATCCACCTCATCTTTAGTGCGCTTGAAGTTCTCGATGCTGAAGGCATACACTGTAACCTCCTGGATGTTCAGATGTTTACACCAACGTAGTGTCTGGTGTGGAAAACAACAGGAGTTTACACATGTGAGAAACCTATTTTAGGTCCAGATGACGTGTTTGAGAAGACAAGTTCACCTCTGCCAGCTTGTTGAAGCCCTGCATATGCCCTTCCTGGCGCTCAATGTTGTTCTTAAGTGCAAAGCGACGGTTACCATCCATGATGAAGGCCACATGTTTAGGCATGGGACCTGCCTGGGAGACAGTGCGGATCAGGAGAGTCAAAAGACATGTAGGGTGTATTGACATCACACACTGTTAATAATACAGAGTTGAAGTGATTAATCAGTCATCAGCAGTAATAAGGCAACTACAATCATCAATTAATCATTTACAGTCACAAGAAAAAGCAAAGGCACTGTTTGCAATTTTCTGGTTTTTGGTATAAATTGGTCATGAAATGTAATCTGTTCTTCAGTCACAAATATCAACAAATATGATATTTCTGAGCTGATAAAACAGTCATGATCTTTCATGTCTTTACTGAAGGATGATGTCTGGGTGGCTGTTGGCAAACTGAAGCTCAGAAGAAGCTGGGTGATGCAGGTCATGGCTTCGGAGACACCAAATCCACCTTTTGGAGTGGCCAGACCTTAACCCAATAGAGATGCTGTGGAATGACTTCATGACAGCTGTTCACACCAGACATCCTAAAAATATGGCTGAGCTGAAGCAGTTCTGTGAGGAAGAATGGTTCAAAATTCCTCATGAACACTGTGCAGGTTGTTGTGTAAAAAAAAAAAAAAAAAGTGTGTCCTAATAGTCCAGTTCACTGGTGAGTGTGAATAAAGGCCAAAGACAAACCCGCCTTTGTGAGGTTTATTTCTGCAGAAAGTTGCAAAAGCATTCAGAGTGGTCTGCTACAGAAGCTCAAAAAGGAAAAATAACTCAGTCATATATATATATATGGCTCTCACATACAAGCTTCAGGGAGGATTAAATAAAAGCCACCTGTTCTGATTAGACACACATACACCCACATTGAAAGAAGTCTTTATCTTGAGATGGTACAAGATGAAAGATGATACTCAACATCAGGGAGTGCATACTTTGTCACGGACAGCTTGTGCTATCTTTTGCTGAGCAAATAGTCAAGAAATTCCGTGCGGACAGAGTTGACCACAAGTTTAAGCCATATATTCGCAAAACAAAAATTTCTATAACAAGGTCTAATCCACAGCTTCAGGAAGTGCTTGCTTGAGGTTATTACTGCCAAAGGTGGTTCAGCCTGTTATTAAAATACTGATGCCATGACTTTGTATGTTTATTGGGTGTGTTCAATAAAGACGTGAAAAATCACGACTGTTTGTATTTGATCATCTTAGAAACATTGTGTTTGTTGATAGTTGTAACTTTGGTGAAGATCAGATCACATTACATAACCAATTTATGCATAAAACCAGGAAACTGCAAACAGTGCCATTACTTTTAAGTCTTCTGTACTAGGTATTTCTGGAGAAAAGAAACAAGCAGTTTAAGATGTCCAACTGTGCTTGTGAAAATGGTTCTAATCATTTTGTACCATTTTCTGTGACAGATCAAATGATTCATCAAGAATATGATATGTAGTTTTTAAGTATCAGAAGTCCTATTAAAACGGGGGTTACTAAGCACTGACTCAGTAGGCTATACAAATGTTCACTTCACAATGGGGTTTTTCTTTTCTTTTTTTAATGTTTATGCAATAACAATGAGTAGTGCATTAACAGTTGAAAAAAAGCTCCTTTTAAAGTCCGCTTTCCACATATGTTTTTCACACTATACTACACATACATACAAAGCATTTTGTCCAAAATGTTTTAATGATTATAAATATCTGGCAATCTTTGAAAAATTCTAGAGGATTGTCTAACAATTAACACTGTCATTAAGATATTTTAAGAATACGAAAAAGACTCATACACTTTTGAATGCAAAAATATTCCATCTGCAACTGTTTTTCTGTCTAAAAATTAAAGGCATGCAGAAATACATCTCCTTTCTTGTGTTGTATATATGACACAAAGAAAATATTACATGTTAGATGTTAAAATGAAAGATAACAATGTAACTTCGGTATAGATAACTAGACTCTGTGGCACTAAAATAGTTTTACTTTGTTTCAGGCTGCACAGATTTAACAAGGATATTTAATTGTCCACTTTTGTCTTCTTTAGAAATGAGCTAAAAATATGCAGTGACTCAAAGGCAGTGGCTATACATGAGAAACTATAGATAGGCAGAAAAGTAGGCTACACATGACTATACAGACTTAGGCTTACCTTTAGGACATTGGCTGAAATCTTTTCAATCAGGTTTAATTCGCCCTCCCGTATCCACGACATTTTCTTGCTTTAAACGGTCTGAAATATGATTAACATTTTAGGGTTGTGACTGTCAGGCTTATAGCACACACTAAACGACTAAAAAACAAGTTACTGTTTATACGACAGGAAAAATAACTGATTATCTTAATCTTTCCATTTGAATATTACTTCATTTTACATGCGGACAGATTGATTATCTCCGTTAACTGCAGGAGGCTGGCTCACGAGGCATGCAATGAACTTAACTGCTATGAGGCTAAAAAAGGCTAAAAAAGCACGAACAAAGTCACACGTAGTCTACAAAACATAATTTTAATAGAAACGGCTTGCTTCATTCAAACTATTGACCCACACGCTTTTTACGCACAAAATTGCTGAGATTTTATCACATTTCGCAGACCTTCCAACTCACAGCTCTTACGATGACGATCTCTTCCGCATTACAGTCAAGTGACACAGATGACGACTTCCTGTCAGAGGGTTGAAGATTTTCAAAATAAGTGGACCGCCCTAAATATATAGATACAAGGTAGCCTAGACTACAGGCTTTTCCTCAGAAAATTATAAAACAAAATACATTTCTATTTCATCATAGAAAAGACAAAATATAAATAAAATAAAATAATTGAGATTTTTATACCTCAAATAGGTTGAGATACTTAATACCTCAAAGACTAAGGAGGTCATTGTCGACTTCAGGAGGAAGAAAACCGACATCTTACCACTGTACATCACCGGGGACCATGTGGAGAGGGTGCCGGCCTTCCACATTAAGGAGTATTTGACCTGGGGCACGAATACCTCTGGACTGCTTAAAAAGGCCCAGCAGAGACTGTACTTCCTACGGGTGCTCAGAAAGAACAACATCTCCCAGAGACTGCTGGTGCCCTTCTATCGGTGCTCCATTGAGAGCATCCTTACATACTGTATATGTGTATGGTACAGCAGCAGCACAGTGGATCAGAGGAAAACGCTCCAGAGGGTCATTAATACGGCCCAGGAGATTGTCGGCTGCCCTCTCCTCACTCTGGAAGAACTACACGGTTCCCACTGCCTCAAAAAAGCTCAGAACATCATTAAGGACACTTCACACCCTGGACGTTCACTCTTTGAACTGCTGCCGCCAGGTAGATGGTTCAGAGTAAATCAAGGACCACTATTCAGGAATGGTTTTTACCCAACAGCAGTTACCATAGTCAATGCTGCTAAAGTATAATATGCCTGTGTGTGAGAGGTCTGTTGTTTATTTCTTTTTTCTAAGTTTTTATATGGTCTTATTTCATATATTATGTTTTTTTTATTGTTGCACTGACTGGAGGTTACTCTAAAATGTCATTGTACGTGTTACAGTGTCAATAAAGGATTATCTTATCTATCCTATTTTGTTCAGCACAATCAAACCTATGCCTTTTTACAGTTTTAATGCTGCAAATGCAATTGATTACCTTTATCATGGCAATGGGCCACAAAGGGACTCAAAATTACCACAGAAGTACATAATGACTCATTATGGCAACAAAGACACAAAACTACAACTGAGTCGTCATACCACCAAAAAACAATGGAACTGACATAAAGAGAGTTAAAACAGCTACAAAGATATGGAATCATTTTATTTAGTTTACTTTAATTTTATTTTATTTTGGGCTACATTACATAGGTAAAAGAAGTATTCAGATTCTTTACTGAAATAAAAGCTGCAACAGTGTAAAAATATAGACTACTATTAACAAGTTTTATGACTTATTAAGTCTGCTCAGACACAAAAACTGCACCTACAGCCTCAGGTACAGCAGGGTGGACAGTATCGTCACACACAGAACAAGACTTTACAACAGCTTTTTCCCTGCCACAGTAAGACTGATGGCAAATATGAAAATGTGAAAATATATGTGCAATAACCCCTTACTAAACATGTGCAATAACCCCTCACTACCTCACCAAGTGTAATGCCATATCCAACTCCACCATGTGAATTACTAAGTGCGATGTTTGAAGTTCACTGTGGGAAACACTATTACCCTATTTTTGTGTATTGTGTTTTAATACTTTGTCACCCTTATATAACTTTTTATTTTAAGACTAAGTGTTCTTTCTGGCTTTTGACTCCTTACCTGACTCCTGTCTGTTTATGCATAAATGGCAAATAAAAATCTTGAAATCTTGAAAAGTTATTTAATAGTTTTATGGTTAAATGTTTTGTTTGTAGATATCCATATGATTATTAATGTCACTATTTGGTTAATTTAATGAATTTTGAACATTGTAGCATGCCCTGGCAGTCTATGGCTATTTATTGCTTCACATTCCAGTTCGGTAGGTGGCGGTAATACATCTATACGTTGGTTTGCCAACTGCCAATCAAAGTCATAATAATAGGAAGAAGAAGACAGTCCATGACCTGAACGATGTTTCTCATTTGCATATCTGCAGTGCAGTTCCGCATTCAACCTCTGGGGTGTGACACTAAGTTCATCAACAGTGCATTTACACTTTTTAATGGCAAAGAAGAAGTTTCAGATTTTGGGGGTGAGGGACTAGCCTTTTTTTTTTTTTTTTGTTCCGC